AGAGAAGACACACTTATAGAAGAAAGAAGACACAAATCATGTATTTCTGCAGTCCGTTCACAGTTGTTATTTGATATAAATAAAACATACATTATATAGTTATTCAGTCAAGAACAAGTGCATTTTCTCTTTGTCTTTTGTTGTTTGATTAGTGTTATTATAGAGACGGCTGCAGGAATATTAGTTCTGTCACTTTAAGAGCTGCACGGGTCCAATATACTGATACACATGTGTGTGTGTGTGTGTGTGTGTGTGTGTGCAGCTCTAAAAACTGCGAGTCGTCTCACGCTTGAATGGTTTAAAGTCATATTGAAATGCTCACATAAGAATCGATACAAGGAATCGAAATTTCAATTTTATAACAAGTATCCAAAGTATTGTATTGTGTTCTGGAAAGCCCAACTCCCCCTCATTTATTTTTTAAAGTTAGACATCGGCCTTCTTAGTATTCCTCAACATAACAACAACAACAAAAAAGCTTGTTTTCCAATTAACTTTTTGTAAATAGTGTAGTGACCCAATGTTTGTAATAGTACAAGTATAGTTTTATTGAATCTCTGATGACTCAATAAGTGCAGTTCCCCTTTATTCCTCAAGGTGGCGATGTCTGATACACATTGATGATGTGATGTTTCACTCATAATTACAGCAGGCATAAAACAAAAGAATATCACCAGTAAAACCGTGATTTACTGCAGAGCAAGGTCAGGGGCCGGTTTCACAAAGAGAGACCTTGACTATGGCTTAGATATAGTAGAGAGTCAGACTTCAGATAGACATCTAAATCACTTAAGCCTCTGACTATCTTAAGTAGGACTACACTGCAATGCATTCTGGGTAAAATAAGACACTTTTCGAAACAAAAAACATGGCGGATAAGCGCATTCAACCGCTCAGTGCAGTTTAGCCCAGCGGGAGATATGTGTGTGTGTTGGAGGAGTGTAACAGTTACAAGGACATTTTACTGGGGAAATTTGGCGGAGAATGTAGTAAAAAGAAGAAATGTTTAATTTGGAAAGGGCTATTTTCCCTTTTCTTTCGACTGTTTGTAATGAAACTGGTTGTTACTGCTGGTTGCCAAGGTAACAGAGTCTTAGACCTAAGTTAGCCTGTCTAATTTTTTTGGTCTAAATTAAGTCAGTCTTTATTTTTGTAAATTTTAGACTTGTCTAACACTATAGACCGGTCTAAAATAGCTTTGTGAAACCGGCCCCTGTACGCAATCAAACATTAGAGTCACTGATAGTGGCGCCAGAAGAAGCTGTCAGAGATCAAAATATTGATAGATATGAGAATATGAGCAGATGCTGAATGTACTGGGAAATCTCTCTGACGAGGACAGTGATGATGTTCGGAAAAAACATCTGCTCAAATTGAACCCTTACAAGTTCTGAAAGCTAGCGAAATATGCTTTGTTGTATTCTTTTGTAATTGTTATTAAAATATCAGGAGAGTTTTATACTACTGAGATCCATCCGTGATAGATATACATCCGGGTCGATAAAGACCCGATTATGTAATAACGACTTTTCCCAACGAAGAAAAAAAAAAAAAAACGTAGTTTCTGGAAAACAAAATCTTTAAAAGAAGATTTTTAGCTTAACAAAATTCAACTCTGGCAGTGGAAGGAAATAAAGATGTGTCATAATTTAATCCTGGTTGTTTTGTATGGAACATGTGGTGGAAATGTCTTCAGGCAAAGAGCAAAGACTCTAATGACTGTGCAGATGTGAAACGTCACAAGTGAAATACACACATAAAATGACACACACACACACACACACAAATAAACCCTCCTGCACATCTTTTAACGCAGCCATGTCCTCTTTGCTGGAACTTCTCTTGTATTAAACGCTGCGAGACACACGGATTCGATTAATTCCACAAACAATGAAATCAGCGTGAAATAAAGACAAGCACTAAAAGGCAGAGTGGAGCGCTGAGCTAATTAAATGTTTTGCATTCTCGTGGTTGTCAACAGGCCCGAAGCCGTCTTTATCATCTTACGTTTGTGTGAGTGTGTGAAAATATTCAGTTTTCTTCAATACAAGCCCCTTCCAGCAAGGTGTCTCTAATGTTTCTTCACTGTAACCTCATTCTCTGTGCGTGTGTGTTTGTGTCAGCTCATCATGTCCTGTCTCTCTACGCCTTATGACACATATAGAGTGACGATTACACAAGATGACAGCTGGAGGAGTGAGCATCTCTTCCCTGCGCATGTTGCTCTTTGCTGGGCTTTGCTGGAGGGGCGAAGACAGGTAAAAAAACACACGCAGCATCACACCAGCAACACCCACACACACACACACACCATATGGAGCTCACACACACACATAGAGACGGAAAAAGCCCTGAGCTACTTCATGTAAAGGGACATGTGTCTTCTGACAAGGAAAAAAATGCTACATTTCTGCAACAAAAGTTGGAAAAATTTGACATTTTTTGAATTTTTTACTTCATTGGAATGGTACGAAACTTTTGGCACTTGCTGTGTGAACACAAAAATCATGGACATGGTTCGAACAGGTTAAATTTAAAAGATAGTCACACTTGTGCTCCTCGTGTTCACGAGCGCATTGGAAATGAATGGGAGACGAGTTTCCTCTAGTGGAAGCGTTTGGTACTGCGGCCGAACTACATCTGACTTAAAGCTAATTTTTTGAGATATCAACCTCAAATTTGGAATACAACTTGTTTATATTTATGAAAATATGATTTAGAAAATATATCTTTCATATACAAATTGAAAATAGCATTTTTGTGCATTTTTCATAACAATACACGTAAAATTCTGTTACTTTTTCGTTCACTTTTTTTCACTTCAGCAATAATCTGCCTAATAATAATAGTCTTTGAAAAGAGATCAAACTTCAGTCTGTTGCTCTAAAAAGCATTTAAGATTTACCACAGTTTAAGCTAGAAAATTTAATTTTTAGGTCTATGCTCAAAAAGTGATTAAATGGATTATAAATACATAGCTTAGTATACAAAAATCCCCTAAAAATACACAATATTAAATAAAAAACATTATCAAACTAAAATATAATACAATATTCATTGACAAAAAAAATGGTAATTTTTGACCAACACGTGAAGAGCAGCAGAGGGTTAAAGAGAGAGAGAGACAATGAGGAATAAAATAAACAGACACTGTTTCTCACCGGTTTTCTTTCTCAGCCCCTTCTCCCACCAAACACACACCTGTTCTTGCAGCATGCATCTCATCCATGAGTGTGTGTCTACGTGTGTGTGTATTGTTATTTATACAAAGGCTTTTAAAAATCCTCTTGAGTCTAACGCATGTCCTGAGGGAGTCCAACTCGACGTCTGACTCAACACGCCACACACACACACACACTGACGCAACACTTCCAAACACATCGCTGTGCTCCACAATAAACTCTTCGCAACGAGGCTGCCGGTGCATTTCAGCAACATTTCATCACCTGCCTATTTTTTTTTTTTGTTGAGTAAGTTCAAGTGTGCCTGATTGACACTAGGAAACTCTTGTCTTGTCATTCACATTCTGACCTCTAGGGGAGCTGTGAGACATTCAGTAGATGTACTGTGTAAACTAGTCTCAGTGCATGTCTGCAAAAATTGCAAGAATTGTGCAAAATCTATTCGCCACTTGACCAGCACGACAATTAAGCGATCGTAATTAATGGTTACCATCTGTAATGCTGAGACTGTGGCTCAGTGAGAGTGAGTTACCTGGCCCAGGCCTTCAGCATCGACAGACTCATGGTCTTCCCGTTCCTCAGCTCCACAACTGCGGTGACCTTCTGACCCCACACGGCGTCTGGAGCACCAATCACAGCCACATCTGAGGAAAAGGTGCATGTTATTCCTCTGTTCATACAGGTGAAACTGGTCTCACCGATGATCTTAAGAGGAGCAATTCCATTTATTATTTAAAAAAACAGTTTAAAAGTTTAATATTTGGATGCTTAAGAGAAATTGCCCAAGATAAGTTTATGTATAATTGTTGTGCATAAATTTAACAACACAAGTAATAAATAAATATTTGTAATCAAGTGCAGAGGTTTGAATGTATGTATGTATATATGTATGTGTATATAGGAATGTGTGTATGTACACTCTAAAAAATGCTGGGTTGTTTCAACCCAAATTTGGGTCAAATATGGACAAACCCAAATGTTGGGTTAAAAATGTAATAAAACAATTTGCAGTTGAAAGTGAAAGCTTAAGTCGGGTTAAAATTTGTAATTACATTGGGTTTGTCCATATTTGACCCAAATTTGGGTTAAAACAACCCAGCATTGTTTAGAGTGTATACATATGTTTACACATGTATTGTTTATGTTCAAATTTTGATGGGTAGATGTTGTTTTGTAAATAGGGTAGGCGTAATAAGCCACGGCTTCAGCCTATACCCGTTCGGCTACCTTCTTTGTTTGTAATGAATTTGCTGTACATACATTCTGTTCTATGTTTAGTAACCGAATAAACCTTTATATATTATATATATATATTTTTTTTAAACTCGAAAAATTTGAATATGGTGCAAAAGTTCATTTATTTCAGTAATTCAACTTAAAAGGTGAAACTAATATATTATATAGACTCATTACATGCAAAGTGAGATATTTCAAGCCTTTATTTGTTATAATTTTGATGGCTTACAGCTTATGAAAACCCCAAATTCAAAATTAGAATATTGTGAAAAGGTTTTTTCATAAGCCATAATCATCACAATTATAACAAATAAAGGCTTGAAATATCTCACTTTGCATGTAATGAGTCTATATAATATATTAGTTTCACCTTTTAAGTTGAATTATTGAAATAAATGAACTTTTGCACGATATTCTACTTTTTCGAGTTTGTGTGTGTGTGTGTACCTGTGATATCTGGGTGGGCTAGCAGATGTCTCTCCACGTCTAGTGCACTGATCTTGTATCCTCCGCTCTTGATGATGTCCACTGAAGTGCGGCCCATGATCCAGTACACGCCGTCTCTGTAGAGCGCAGTGTCACCTGAGAGAAACCAGAGCCCTTCGAGTTACACCTGCCTCTACTAGGGTTGCCAACTCGCTGGGACGTCCCGTATATTGGGCCTAATTTATTGGACCTCCCTTGTCCTGTTTACTGACAGCTAACCACTGACTGATACAACAGCAACACGACTGAATGATCACGACAGCGGTCATCATCCAATCACAGCGCTCCCTCACGAGCATCGCGCTAACGGCGAATCCGTTCCACTGTCCGGCCGGGTTTTGATTTCAGTAAATGAGTTTTGGCGAATTCAATCAACGTGATTATTATTGTTCATGAGTTCAACATTAGCCACGCAAGAACACATGAACTCTTCCTGAGGGAATCATATGCGGATGTGATTTGCTGCTCAAGAAACATTTCTGATTATTATTAATGTTAAAAAAAAAAAGTCAGGATTCTTTGATGAATAGAAATTTCAAAGGAGATTTATCTGAAATAGAAAGCTTTTGTAACATTATAAATGTCTTTACTGTCACTTTTGATTAATGTAATGCGTTCTTGCTGAATAAAAGTAGGCTATTACTTTCTTTAATTTCTTTCAAATGTAGTGTATAATGTTACAAAAGCTTTCTATTTCAGATAAATGCTATTATTTTGAACAATGGTTTGAGTGTAATGTAAGTGAAAAGCTATGAAAACCTTTTCACAACATTCAAAAATTTTGAATTTGGGGTTTTCATAAGCTGTAAGCCATAATCATCACAATTATAACAAATCAAGGCTTGTAATATCTCACTTTGCATGTAATGAGTCTATATAATATATTAGTTTCACCTTTTAAGTTGAATTACTGAAATAAATGAACTTTTGCACCATATTCGAATTTTTCGAGTTTCACCTGCAAATTTTCCATTTCTGCAAGGGCCGGTGTTTGGATTTTTACTGTTTTATTTTATTCTTTTATGTAATTGGTATATTATAGCAGCCTAATTGATGATGGGTACGTTTTACTCTAGATCAATGTTTGAGTTTCTGAGGCTCTCAGGAATGCAGTTATCAGTTGTAGCCAGTGGTGAATGCTACTATATTTATATAGTCATCGCAATAAATAACAGAAAATATCGTGATATATTATTAAGTCCATATCGCTCATCCCTATATGGGGCTCAAGAAGTGAAAAACAGCTGTGGAAGGTGGGAAGAAATAAGAATATAAGCTTTGTGTGTGTGTGTGTGTGTGTGGCTGCTGTAAGTTGTCCTCTTCTGAGCTTTAATAATAGCCTGTAGTAAGGCTTAAGATCTTCTGCTTGCAATCTTAAAAACCAATTGCACAGAGCCGCTCAGCTGGAGACTGCTTAATTACCCCCCTATAAGACACACACAAACACACACACACACACACACTATCCAAACCAGCTGCAAGTTTCCGGCATCAGGTTTCCTCACAGAGTAACAATTAAAACATATTTGATGTACAGCTATGGGGAGCTGAAGGCCCCGTCCCAAATGGCGCACGTCAAGTGCACTTGCAGTCTTGTGCACTTACAATGGTCCGTTAAGTCCACAAGATCGTAAGGTGTCACGTTTGTCATTTTAGGTTTCAGAAGAGTGCTCATTTGCAGACTTCGGCATTATGAGCATTATGTCAAAAAGTATGGACTGTAATGAATTACCATTCGTTTGAATTTTAACGATTCCAATTACGATTCTGTAGCTTGGATTGGATGCCAGCCGAGCTTAGCCCCGCCCACAACATTTAAGAATGGGACGTTCGGTCTACTCTGGACTTGATCTGTTGAGAACCAAGTATGCCCGAACCAAAGCTGTTCGGACCAATCAAATCGTCAGGGCGGGGTTTATACGACGATGGAAAGATGATCAACAGTAGCGTAATCATCCACGTCACCAAAGAGCGCTTGGGTTGAGTTCGTTTACAACAAAGATGGCCGCCGCTGGAGAACTGAGATGTGTAGATTCAGCCATCGCGTCTGTTATAGAAGATGTAGAAAGCGCATTCATTTTAAAAGAGGAACAGAGAAACACTATCAAGGCATTTGTCGATCGGAAAGATATTTTTGCCGTCCTTCCTACGGGATTCGGTCGATCCAGTTGAGTGCAGAGGCCTTTTCTTTCCTGGTTCGGTTGAAACGGCCCATAATCACAGCCCAATGGAGCAGCATCAGACTCACACTCTGACTAGCATCTGACGTCAGGCTAACGATTCTGCTTATCGATTGGCTGATTGGAATGTTGTTCCAGGAACATGTTGTACTCGATGAAATCCCGTTCACCCCAAAGATCGCAGTACGGAGAAAGCTGTACCCAAAGACGACGACTGCTCTCACGTAGACTCATTGGCCTTGTCCCAAATGGCACACTTTATATGCACTTTCGGTCTTTTGGACTTACAATGGCTGCCACGTGTGTGTGTGTCCGTTAAGTCCGTGAGACCGTAGGGTGTCCCATTTGTCATTTTAGGTCTCAGAAGGGTTAGAGGTCTGCTACCCGACCCGAGCCCGACGGGTCCCGAAAAACTCACGGGTTTCGGGTCGGATTCGGGTTAATCTTTAATGAATAGCCTCGGGTTCAGGTTTGTAACTTAGAAAAACTATATAGGCTATACATATATATATATAGGTTGCGTACCGTGTGCTTGCTGTGTTGTGATAATCATCACATCACATAATTATCAGTATAATTATATGAGCATGCGAGAGAGTTTCAGCCGTCCTTCTCTGATTGCGGTGTTGTGACCGAAATACTGCGTGCGGGAGCACATGCGCAAAACAGTTTTGTAAAATTATATATGAATCATTTTTATTTGATCATATATCATTTTTACAAAACTGTCGATGCTGTTCTCTTCCTTCATAACTCGTACTGAGAAGGATAGGCTATATTTATGTAAATAGTTGTGCAACTGCGCAAACTTTGTTTTGAAGTTTAATGTTTGAGTTCCAGGGGAATTTGTGACTGTTTCACCTGTTCAACCACATCAAAGTTTCGTAAGTAGTAAGTCTGTGCTTTTTCTCTTTTTTTCTTGTGTTCTGACTGATCAGGGGGCCGCTGTGCCTTGGTGAAACGGTGTTTACATGTAGCCTATTTTTTTTTAATTATCGTGGCAAGCAAACATAAAATACAGCATATTGCAAAAAAGAAAGAAAAGAAAAGCTATTTACTGTGAGAAACGGACCTCGGGTTCGGGTCGGGCTTAAAATATAACCGCAATGTTCGGGTCGGGTCGGGTTAAATGATTTCGGGTACGGGCCAGGGTCGGGCTTAAGTTTAAAGCCGACCTCTACTTTGCTTAGGGTGCCATTTGGGACAGGGCCATGAGAGATCTGATGCACACTACAAAATCTCGGCTGAACTAGAAGGTATTTTTTACCAATTTTATTTGTTTTATGAATACTCCATATTCAGACTAATTTGCCATACTTCTTTTTGCATACTATATAGTAAGGAAGTAGACATATTTCTCTCACGGTAAATTAAACCAAGTGACCGGCAAAGTTTGTCGCAGTTGTGTCTGGTTAGGACAATCTCAGATTAAAGCAACACCAAGTAGCTTTTCCTCTGCGGTCGCCCTACAGGTTGGAAGTGGAATTGTCCATTACCGCTGTGGTAAATAATTTAGCCTAGCGCAGCCGACTGTCGCACGCACACGCTCGCTGTTTATCCAGCGCCGGCTTTGGAGTGAACGATGTCCACAGACAAGGTAGAGTATGTTGCATGATTTCATGAAAGTATGATGTGTTGCGACATCAGAAACGAAGAAAAACAAAATAATGACTATTGTAACGCTTGACGTAAAGCAAGTCAAATTTGTAGTTTTCTTATGTCTCATTAGAACTACAGAAACGCGACCCGATCTGGCAATCTTACATAGCGTGGTTATAGCAGATATAGGACCGCATAGCGGATCCAGAAGTGCCTTTCACCCTGTTACGACTTAATGAACCACTGAAACCATTTTAGAAACATTATTTTAAGGTAAAAAATCTTACTTAGTGTTGCTTTAACATCAGAGAGAGAGAGAGGGGAAATTCAGCTTTTCTGCTTCATCATGACATGCCTGGTTAGGACAAGGTGTTATACTCCGCTTTAACACACCTTGATGAGAGGCCAAAGATTTCAATCTGAGTCTGAAAAGTACAAGCCATCACTAGCCAGGCAGTTTTCCAATCTTTTTAGCAGAGCGGAGACAAAGAGACTCTTCTCATCGAGTGTTGGGGCTCAGCTGGGACTGGACCATGAAGACAACGGGAAATAGGTCATAGCAGGCGAGTGACTGAGTGTGAAAGAAAGGAGGAAAGAACATTGGGCAAAGGTGTTGGATGTCCAGCGTGGATCATTATTGAGTGCTAAGACCCAGCTGTGGCGAAGGGGAGTTGAGAAACGAGAGAGCATGTGTGTGAGCTGTCTGGAGGTTAAGGACGATATGTCATGGGTTATAGTGTGTATGTGTGTGTGTGTGAGAGAGAGAGAGCGGAGGTTAAGTTGGCAGGGCAGGGGAAACTGGACATAAGCTGTGACTGGATGAAAGACAGTTGATGAGTGAGATGGGAATCATCTATCATAGAGCTACAATCTCTAATTAGCTTCCATTCTTTATTCCCGCAATGCTTCCATTAACATCAGTGTTAAAGGGATAGTTCACCCAAAAATGAAAATTCTGTCATTAATTACTAGCCCTCATTTCGTTCCAAACCCGTAAGACTTTCGTTCATCTTCAGAACACAAATGAAGATGTTTTTGATGAAATCTGAGAGATTTCTGTCCCTCCATTGACAGTCTACGCAACTACCACTTTCAAGCCCCAGAAAGGTAGTTAAAGTAATACATGAGACTCCAGTGGTTTAACCTCGATGTTATGAAGCGACGTGAGTGCAAAAAAAAACATGATTTACCACTTTATTTTCAAAATATTCATCTCCAACGTGTGTTCATGAGAGAACCACTATCCATGTGTGTTGTGTTGACGCGAGAGTGAGATATTTCAAGCCTTTATTTGTTATAATTTTGATGATTATGGTT